ATAATTACCTACGCGAATGTATTTCCATGACAACAACAAACGTCAAAATAAATTATGGAAGTTGCTTTTCATTTTGCTATTGATTCTATTCGAACTTTTGTGCTCCAAGCTAATTCGTTATGAGTGATTAAATTAAAAGATGTGGTGATAAGTCGGTTGTCGAAATTGATTAACAAACTAAGAAGAATGTTCCGGTTAATACGACAAAATTTCGCGTCATTTCACTGGTGGAAGTTTGACAAATGTCATTGAATAATCGCATTGAATTGTCGCTGAAATACCACACGTGCAATTATCACTATAATTCGTTCCCATTGGCGCAGCAATTTGAAATCGAGACATTTCACTGGTTGAAATCTGACAAATGTTAGATGAATTGAATAGTCAAGTCTATACAATCACCCTGTACTGTCAACTCATAACCGGGCGCACTCCGAAAAAATCTCCAAAATTCAAACTTCATAATTTAAAGAAGAATTTAAAAAAAATGGTCAACTAATTAATCGGATTGAATACAATCCATTATTCGCAAAAACTCGGTAAGCAGGTAGTCGTTCAGTTAGCATTTTTGATTCTGAATTTGGACAATCCGGTTTTGTGTCCTTTCAGGTACTATTTTGTCCTTCCTAAATTAAAATAAGTATCTGAGTGTTTATGGATTGTTTAGAAAGGTGATGAAAAACGGCCACGTCATATTACAGGTGAACGATTATTGCAAAAAGCCAAACCAGGAAAGAACAAAAGAGGATGGTACCAAAAAAGGACAGTTGGCATTAATGAAATGACTGCTCAGAAGGCAGATCTTTATGTTGTAAGAAAACTTTGTAACGTAGAAATTTTATTTGTAAATCTTTGCTATAAGTGTTGTAAAATCCCAACACCAAATCACCAAATAGATTTTTTCCGTTTACATAATTCATTATGAACTCTTCACCAGACCTGTTAATTTTTATTTAGTTTTGGTTCCGTTGCCCATCTTATCCGTATTATTTGTGCGAACTTCATGTTACATAATATTGCATTGATACTTTGGGTTTGTGCATTAGGTCGATAGATCTGACTCAAAAACAATTGTCACCGTCTGGGAGATTGTCTAAAGATTCAACTGGTTTTTCATAAGGGGTTGTTTGATTCGCTTGGAAGATTCCTTTTTATTTTGTTTTTACCGACACTACATTCGGCCTTTGATAGCGATAGCAAAGACGTCGACGGCGTCTCTTTAACCGGTCGTCCGATCTTGGACCGTTGGTTCAACGGAAGTAACGCATGTAAAAGTATCAAAAGTAACAAATCATTCAGCTCGACCAAGAATTAACCAGGAATTAATAAAACCTACGGAGGACAGGTCACCTTCATCGATAAAAGCTTATCGCCAAATGGGAACGACTGCGAAATCCAGGTGTATCTAGCTCTGGAGGAATATTGTCACAAGTATCTTCGATGTCTTCGTCGGGCACCCTTAATTATCATAATTGCAATTTCTATCATGTTAAACCATACATACGGTATACATAAAACATTTACGTTAGGTACATGTCTATAAAGCTTTTGTTGAAATCTTTAGCTAGCGTGCCAAAAAACATTCTGTATACGAAAATTTCCAACGTGCCACTTATAATCCCCTTTTTGTGGTGTCTGATAGCGCACAACTCCTCGGAGATACATTTCCGTACTTCAGTCCTTTTTACGAGATCTCCGCACTCTTCCAAGAAACCTCCCATAAACTTCGGGAGGTGAGCTAATAGTGCAAAAACCTAATTCATCTCTTTCAGTGCCCAGGTACCTGTTGAAACTTTTCCCAACAGAATGCGCCGAGATTTATTCGTTTCAATTCACCTTTCCAATTTAAAATGACATGAATTAAAGTCGAGACGCTTGACAACTAGGGTTTCCATCGACGTATACGCGAAGTGTGAAATGAGACAAACCGAAACCTTCAAAGTATTCAATTGCGTAATTCCGTCAGTTAATAAAAAAAAGCTTATAGGGAATCTTTTTCGTCCCTAACACGCTTGCTAATTAAAGTGACTTTTATTTGTTTACGTGTAAAGTTTGAAGTACTAACAACATGTAATTAAACAACCTCAATGTAACGCTAATCTCACTTCTATTCTTCACAGGATAATGAATGCCTTACGCAGTTGAACTAGGTTCATTATTTCAAGAGTTAATTACCGTAACCGGCGTCGCATGGTTGCTATATAAAATATCAACTGTAATATATTATATAGTCAACTAACTTCAAGTGGAACACTTAAAAATGTTCAAAGAATGCGAAGAAACGCGCGTTTGATCACAAAACCCTGAAAAAATGAGCTAATTAACGCGAAAATAAATCTTCCCTCTGGAAACAATTCTTTCTTGAATACGTACCTACGCTAGATATGTTGAAACAGTTGGCAACCTTTACTGTGTTTTATAAATATTAAATACATATTCAGAGAAATATCAAATAAATGTCAATCCAGTACAGAACTTACATTAATTGCATGATTGAATTAATTGACCTGGGTAGTTGGAAAACACAACATGGAGGCTGGTGGAAATTTGTCATAATCGAAAAAAACGAGTTCACGTAAAATTGAGCGCGAGATCCGAAATAGCATTTTACATATAACAAACTTTGAAATGCTTTACACGCGAGGCGACGACTAGTGAAGTAATATCACACTTGTGAAGGGTCGAAATCTGCACACTATCTCTCAAACGGCTTATGTGCTTATATTATGTTAAGTAACAGGAAAGCTAAACGCACGTGACACAATTCTTGGATAAGAGAACCAAAATCTGACATGAAAACTCTATCCGGGCCGCACAAAGGATTTCGAAACACATGAAATTAAAACAACATTCCTGAAAAACGGAAAAGCTTGCAAGCTTGTTTGGACAAATTACCTTGCACTCAGGCGTTCGACAAATAAAGTGACAAAATTAAATTTTTTTTCTTTTTTAATCATCGCAACGATCTGGTCGTTTGCGATAAGAAGGTGCACTTAATTTCACACAGATAACTTCTATAATAATAATAATTTTATTAACGCTACAAGGCATTTTGCATACAAATTAAAATTATAGTGATACAGAATAAAATACACAACATAAATCAATAAAACGAAGGACAAGATCGACGTGTAGGAGAGATAGCGAAAAGCTTGTTTATTGGATCAACAGTGAATTCCCAGTACGTTTGAAGGCGGCTAGTGGCAGTCCGAAGAAATCGATTTTCAGATGTAAGCTGTTGATCAGGTCAACCATGCGGTTTAAAGGGCTGTTTTGGAAGTATAGCGTTCGGCATTGTCGTGCATGTAGAAGTCGAGCCGAACGAACAAATCGGTACGTTTAAATTAATAGTGGATAAAATATCCGGACAGTTTAGGTGACCATTTAGTAGTTTGAAACCAAAACATGCGGTAAGTAAATTTCTCCTCTGTTTAAGAGTCAGTATTCCCAAGTAAAGTCGGACATTTTCAGTGCGATCCAAAATGATTCCATGAAGAAGGAATTTGTACTTTATAAGGCGAAGAAAATTGTTCTGTATCTTTTCCAACCGATTGACGTGAGTTAAGTAGTATGGTGACCAGATCGTGCAGCAATAGTCCAGATGCGACCTAACCAGGGAGAAGTATAAAGTCCTCAGTGCGGTTATGTTGAAGAAATCCTTACATTGGCGACGAATGAGCCCAACCATTTTGCTAGCCTTCGAAATAACATGATCGTAGTGATGCTGGAAATTCAATTTTGTGTCAAGTACTACCCCCAGGTCCTTGATGATGCCCATATGTTGAAGTTCTTGACCACAAAGATGGTAGAGCGGAACAGAAGGCGATGATTTCTTCGAAAAACAAATTGAACAACATTTGGTTAAGTTCAGTTGCAAATCATTATCTAATACCCATATTTCAAGTTGTACCAAATCTTGTTGAAGGATCAGCACATCCAGGGTGTTCTCGATAGGTCTGTAGTCGAGCTTAAGATCGTCAGCAAAAAGGGCATGATTTGAGGAGAATATCGAAGATATGTCGTTGACGTATGCCAGGAACAAAGGCGGGCCGAAATGTGTCCCTTGCGGAACTCCAGATTTGATGTCAGTGGGATCCGACAAAGTGTCATCGATTTGGACTCGTGCTTTACGACCAGCTAAGTAGCTTTCCAACCATTTCACTGCTTGGTTACCTAGACCGTACTTTTTTAGCTTGAATATCAGCAATTTGTGGTTAACCCGGTCAAATGCTTTGGAAAAATCTGTGTAGATCGAGTGCACTTCAATACCTTGATCAAGAGAACCAAAAATCCGGTTCAAGTATAGAAACAGGTTTGTTTCCACGGATCTTCCTTTTGTAAAACCATGTTGATTAACCGATAACACTTGCGAGAAGGCCTGGGTGAACTGCCGGACAACTATGGATTCGAAAAGTTTCGGTATAGCCGACTGGATGGATATTGGTCTGTAGTTATTGTAATCGGGCTTGATTCCATTCTTGAAAATCGGTGTAATTTTCAAATTCTTCCAGGCACTCGGAAAAACACTTTTCTCCAACGAAGATGAAAATAAAAGGAACAATGGTCGGAATATTGATTGAGCACAGTTCTTGAGAAATTTTGGTGGAATTTCATCCGGTCCTGTGCTTCCAAATTCATCAATAGCTGATAGACCGCCAAAAACCTCCTCAGCCGTTATTTTGAACTGCGCGAGCGCGATTTCACTGGTCGTGGAGAACGAATTTTCGTGAATGCGGCCCTCCACGAAAGCTGTAGAAAAGTGTTTGGCAAAATGATTGGCAATTTCACGACGGTCAGATGTGGACTCATCATCTTTTATCATCAAAGGAGGGATAATAGAAGTTTTGTTCATATTATGATAAAATTTCCAGAACGACTTCGGATTTAAAGTAACATTTTCTTCACAGGTTTTAATAAAGGTGTCATAGCACTGTGTGGTCAAGGATTTACACTGAGTTCGCAACTCGGTAAAAACTTGATAATCGATGTTGCTCTGAGATGCTTTATATGTTTTGTGGGCGAGCTTCTTATCCCTAATCAGCTTATGTAGTTTACTACTAAACCATGGCGGGTACGTTGATTTAAAACATTTAATTTTTGGAACACATACATTTAAAATGTCGTAGATGACTGTGTAAAAGTTTTCAACATTTGATTCCAAATCTCCATTGAAAAATAGTGAATGCCAGTCCACGGAACGAATGTAGTCATTGATTTGATCATAAGGAGCCTTCGAGAAATTGAATTTGTAGACTGGTTGTTGATTCGAGTCATCACACTTGAAGAAACCTTGGTGGGTGTGAAGCGCTACACTAAGTGCTGGGTGGTAGGAATCACAGATTACTAAATTATTATCACAGTTAGAAACGGAAGTATCACAGTTAGAAAAGACTAGATCAAGGATATTGTCATTCACCCGGTTGTTGATTGAGTTGAATTGATGGAAGCCGAACAGGTTGAATGCGTCACATATAAGCTCTGAAATGCGGTTGCGATTACAAAAAGTAGAAAGGTGTCCATCTTCCTCGTCGCTATCCCAACTGGTATTAGTCAGGTTATAATCTCCTAACAGTATAATTCTGGCTTCCGGGAATTTATCAAGAGCTGATTCCACAGACGTTATCTGGGATTCATAGACAGCAACATCAGAGTTGGGCGGGATATAGGTACAGCAAACAAGAATGGTCCCCTGAGGACTTAAATCGATTATTGCCCAAATTTCTTCAACGAAGGAAACTTGATGTACATTTCAGAGGAAACGATTTGAATGTTGATTTGATTGCGACAAGCACACCACCACCACGAACTTTGACACTCGTTACGGGCGACCTATCTTTGCGGTATACAGTAAATATATTTGCATCGAATAGTTCACCGGAAGCAATTTCAGGAGTTAACCACGTTTCCGTTAAAGCAATAACGTCGAAATCGATGGATAGTGAATTACAATAAACCGATTTCACCTTAGTCTTTAGGCCTCTAACATTTTGATAATAAATATCCATAAATGCAGAGTCATTAGTTATCCTTCTGACACCGGCCCCACCGCCCTTGAAAAATTTACGGCAGTAGAATTGATACCTCTTCTAGCAATGAAAACAAATTCACCTTGGGCCACTTGCTCGCATCCAGCAAACTTTTCAAGTGCGATTCCCTTACACCAACTTTAAAAGAGCAGGTGTCTTTATTATCAACTAGTAGAGAAGAGATAACATCGGTAAGATTCCATTTCGATTTAACAAAATCAGTAATGGTATCCGAGGAAGTACCACTTCTAACTCTGCCTACATACACCCATTGACGTCTCTCTGATCCTTCGAAGGTATTGGAATCGGAACCGCCATTAACATTCCCGGAGTCCATTTCCCCAATAAAAAGAGGCTTTTGAAATCTCCTCCGGCGGGATGTTACTACTTGAAAGTCATCAGTCTTCGGCTTATCTAAATTATCAATGGCATTCGTAACGGCATTATGGACCTGCTCCTGCGATGTTGACGGGATAGCTGTTGAATGTTTAGTAGCAGTAGTAGCACGTGTTGAAGATTTGACTGGCGTATTGCGATTAATGCCTTTAGTAATATTGGCAAATGACATTTGTTGTTTGTTATTATTTGACACTATATCTTCTAACGCGGCGACCTTGTTGATAAGAGTCTTGTTTTCCTTACGAATTTCAACTAATTCGTTTTTCAAATCGACGACCAATACGTTCTGTTTTTTGACAGCTTCTACTAATTCCATTAAGACATATCGATCAACAATTACGGAATCGCCAAAATTACATTTTTTTTCTTTTTTAATCATCGCAACGATCTGGTCGTTTGCGATAAGAAGGTGCACAATATCCCCGTACAGTCTCTCACAAAATCTAAAACCACCCTGCGGTAATTTATAGGTTGAGTTACTTAACTGGTCGTGGTTCCACACAACCGTTACAACAACGGCTCTTGATTCAAATTACTTTTTTTTTTACCGTTTGACACGAACGCTTTCGTGGCTTAACACGCTTTGCTCCATGGCTTACCACCAACGGCCTAATTCACACTAACTTTGTTTTTTAATTCACGCCCATTCTGGACCGTACAATCTTCTTCACCAATAAAACTCATTTTTCCAACCAATTAGATCCTTTGGCACACATCAATATGCTCCGCGTGGAGTAGGAATAATATAATTCGAATAATTAATTATTCAATTGTTCCATAATTCCGGACAACCTTCGCAGATGATTCCAATTACTATATAAGTATACAAATCGGTTTTTTAAATTTACGTTTTATGTTCAGAAAAGTTCGAAAAATGCAGGGCGGTCACGAACTAATTAAATTTCCTGAGTCAATAATGATCGATTAAACTAATTACTGAATCTTAAAACGATTTTTCACAAATAACTTGATATTCCGGGCAAAAATTCGCACGTATAGGGCAAAGTACAAGTAAAACACATAAGGCAACCCTTACCTTGAATAAAGCTAACCGTTGACGCCAAGAAGTGAACTCAGTTCTCGCATCCAGTCTTGAAAACAATCAAAGAAACCTCCCAAGCCGCAGGGCTGCGTATATAATTAGTTGATTAGTGCCTGAAGGGCCTTGCTCAACGTGTAATCTGCTTCTATATCGGGTACGATACTTAATTGGCCACCCCCTTCAGAAGGAAGTGTTGGTCTCCAACAAAATTCGAATTTCAAATTCGATCTTAACTGAACCAAGATGGCAGGGATACTGAGGCTGTATAACCCTGAAGGGACAAAGTAGTTATTAACTAAGACGCTAAAGAGAACCCTAAGAGAAACCAAAGGTAAACCCCCCTTCTTTGATGGCATAAAATTTACCTACCTTTTAACTAAGAAGGCTACTCGTAGCCGAAGCATACGATAAAGAAACGAAGGCGGTATTTACGTCAAAAGGGTAAAACGCATATGTAAAACCTCCGCTGTAATTGTAAACAAAGCTAAAGTTAAGAATAAATCTTTACAGGCTATAATCACAGGTGCGCTCCAGGAAATCGTAGCCGTGCACCTATAAAATTGTTATTTGTCGTTTTAAAAGAAAAAACTGACTTATTTCAAAAATTCCAAAAAGTTACTGTTAACGGTAGGTAAAATAACAGGTTTCACTCAAGGGGCGTAGTTTTAGTATTTCAATTTAAAAAATTCCCACATTTCTTGGAAAAACGGCAAAACTGATTCCAGTGAAGCATCGGAAAAATCTTAAGTATTAGTATTGTATTTAGAAATACAATGGTATTAGTTTGGTAGAGCAAGATATTCATTTATTCATTAATTTCGACATTGGCGTGAAACATCACATTTCTTCTGAGCATATCAGGAACGAAATTTTGAGCTGGGCTTGCATTATTTTTTTTTGTTGAAGCATATCTTTCACGTAGGAGTTTGATGGTGTTTTCTTACGAAAATCACTATCGCGCGCATTTGATTCAAAATGCAGGTTAAATCGACATAAACAGGAAAGAGTTTATAGAAGATAAATTGTAGGTAATCAAATTTCCCACAAAAAAGTCCGTGACGACATATCTCTATCTTCAACGGTTTGTGAATAATAAGCATTTTAATATGTGCCTGTGTTTCCGCCATACCTACGAATGCGCAATTTAAATAAGTTTTCCGACTCTGCAACCCACATATGACTTTTATCGATTCATTTCATGATCTACACTAAACATCTTCTCGGAACAAACAACATTTTTTACAAAAGTTGTTCTTTTAAAATGACAAATAACTATCTTATAAGTGTACGGCTATGCTTTTCAGAGATACAGTGCGTTCAAGGTAAGTATGTGTATTTCTATTTTCCAGGAAACTTGTTCGATAGGCATCTTCGCACTATTAGGGCATTGTGTGCGGGCACCATCGTGTTGAAATCTTCAGTTTCCATCATTTCTTTTTTATGTGTACCGATCGTTGAATTCGCAATAAAATTGCTACTCAATACAGTAAGTACTTTTTTACGGGTCATATAAAAAGTAAAGTTGATGATGATTTCTCCGAAACGAAACGTTGTATTGGAAATCTCTCGTAGAGCTCAAAATGTTGCAATGGGTCAGTGTTGTTTGTTACCTTTTTTGTTTCTGTTCAAGTAACATCAGAAAAGATAAAGATCAAATCGGCAAATTTCGATTTTTCTGGCATTTCGGAAGTGATCGGAATTTTCTGGTTTTCTCTAAAGCACGATAATCTTTTCTCTCTCTCTTTTCTCTAATTTGGCAATCGTTGTATCTTCTAAGGTTTCAGAGATCCCCACGATTCTCTTATCTTGGACACAGTGTATCTTGGTCTCTTTTGAAGTTTCTTTGCAAGCTATTACTCAAATACAAGCTTTGTTCTCTTTAAGTTTCCTTCAGGTTTATCGTAAATTCCTCTAAACTCCGCGTCAAATACTTCCAAGTTACTTTAAATTTTTTCTCCCTTCAAGTTCCCCACTAATGTCTCTCAAGTTTACTATTCAAGTTCTTCTTAAGTTCCTGTTCGTCTCCCCTAAGGTCCGATGAATATCTTTTGTTGTTTTCTAACTCTCTTCATGTTTCAGTTAGTACAAATGGTATTGGTGAAATATTACTTTTGGGTCTGTCTTTGGAATGGTAGGTTCTTATGTTGCAAAAGATGTGGAAATCTCTGGTGATAATCCAGAGGCATCAAGCCAAAATTGTTTAAAGTGTTTATATAAACGTATTTACGTGAATGGGTAATTGTTATATCTCCTTAATGTTATGCCATATGGTTTAATTGAATGAGCTATCTTTCTTCTATCTATATCGCAATCAGAAACCCATTTATTAATGTTGTGTGCGTTACGAGCATTGGGAAACAAATATTACAACAAGTAGAAAGAATATGAGAATGACACCAATGTAGCCAACCGACATCCTTTATTCTTTTACAAAAACAACACGATAGCTTTTAACCTCCCTAACTTGAACAGAATTACAATAAGAAATTGGGTACTTTTCAGTGCATCGATTTTACTACAGCACGATGGACGAACTTTTCTAATCTCATTCTCGTAATGTTTGAAACGTGATGCAAACATGAAAATACCTTGTTTGATTTTGGTTGGCTGCAATTGTGGTACTTTCAAGTATTTCGAAGTCGTAAACTTTAATTGTATTATCTAACTTTGCGAATTGCCGTTAAGATTCGTTTTCGTGCTCAAATTTGTCACGAACGCGGGGGATTTGTTGACAGGATTATGAAAATCGGCAAGATCGCGCTTGTTTAATTAAAACGTTGGCCGCGTTCGAAAATTAGGCCTCATTAGAAATTTCAAACGAAATCTTTGGAAAAGTTATGGTTGAGTTCGCAGCAAATCGGGTTGTAGAGGGCATCAAAACAAGCACTTTTTCCAAATAAACCGAGGGTCCAACGTGTTTCGTTTGGGAGCCACCCCCCAAAGAGTGTTGAAAGCTGCATTTCTTCTTTAATTTTTTTCTCAGCAACCATAAGAGTTACAAAGTCGGGTGGCATGTCTTTGAATAGGTTTTTGGGTATGCTCTTTCCGATTTTGCAATTTTTTTTTCCAAATTCCTACCCCTAAAGGGCGCACCCCTAAACTAGGGTGCAAAAAAAAATTCTGATTTCGACGAAATTTGGTATCTGGGGTTTTTTTAACATGAAAATCACGAATCTGAAATTAGTTTTTGAAAATTCGAAAAAAAAAAGTTCCACTGCAATTCTTGGCGGGACAACGAAAATAGAGATAATTCCACGAAATTTGTTGTGTACATACTAAACGAGTTAAGGAACAAAACTGTCGAACAGTTTTTTAATATAACTTTTCAAACAAAAGTTATACTCATTTGAATGTTGGTCCTTCGGGTCGCGAAGTGTCCCAAGCCTACTAGTAAGCCATAATTTCGCATTGTGTTGGTTGACAATGTCGCAAAAACAAAAGATTAACGGTTTGAGTCGATATTTTGTTATTTGGAATTAATTCGGTCATTAAATGATTAAAAAATTCGATGTATCGATTAAAACACCTACCAAGGTATCTTAAAGCG